ACTCGATTAATCGTAAGAATAATCGATAGATTACTCGATTACTAAAATATTCGTTTACAACAGCCCTAATTAGAACAGTCTACTTCTGCACCCCATTTACAGTTGGAGCATTAATCGGCATGCAATACTTGCATTTAATCATGTTTATTGCAGATGTAATGAAGTCAATCCCAATTATATTCTCACATGTTCCTTCAGAATAAATTTCAGTTCTTATCAGGATAAAAAACAGCCTCCATTAAGCATGAACATGACCAAGTGAGGTAACACTTTATTTGAAGGGGTGTGCATAAGGCTGACATGACACTGTCAAAAACATGACAATAACACCTGTCATGAACATAAAGAAGTCTTTATGAATGTCTATGACAGTTGTCATGAAGTGTCATTTGGTAAATGATGACACTTTTAATGCAAAGTTGCTCTAAAAGTTGCATTGAAAGTCCATTAAAAATGCCAGCTTTGTATTAAATTATCATAATTTACAAAATCATGCAAAGTTGGCATTTTTAATGGACTTTTAATGCAACTTTTAGAGCAACTTTGCATTAAAAGTTTTTCTTTGCTCCTGTGATTCTCAGTACAGGCCATTCCTCCTCTGCCTCACTTGGTGGATGCTTGAATGTGAGACGGCAGCAGTAGAAACTGTTGGCAGTATCTTTTCCGCAGCTCTGACAGCGCTGCAGGAGAGTGAACAGTTTACAGTGAAGATGACATCAAAAACTGTAATACTGGGTTACATGCGTGCGGCGAGTCCCCTGTGCATCATTAGGCAATCTGAATCCAGCTCAGGAATAGAGCAGGCTCCCTCTACCAATAAACATTGCATCACTGTGGGAAAAATAAAGACCATAAAGGGGAGAAACGGAGTTGGATTTGTGTTTATTTGCCAAAATGGAAGAAGATCTCTGGTGACTGGGCCCAGATCTGGGCCCCAAATAGGAACACATGAGGGTATTTAATCCAAAGCTCCGCTGACAAATGCTCTCCATTTGATTTAGATCACTTTAGTCCTTTCTTTTCCACTTGAGATGACAGAAAAACTGTTATGGACCTGAATTATTTAGCAGAATTGAGAGGGGGAATTGAGGGGGATTGGTCAAGAAATGGTCAGCAGGGTCTCTCCAAGAGCTTGGATCCAGAGTTTCCATGGCAACTGTCACTCACTGATGGGAGGTGGTGTTCCCCATCGCTTCAATTACTGCTTGGGATTAAGTTCAGAGATGCTCCACAGATCCAGGACAAACAACTTATGCGACGGAGGACCCCTGGCTTGCTGAAGGTGCAGTGGGATGTTTGCTCCCAGCTGGATTCAGTGATGCAGCGCTCAGAACGAGTCAGAAACGCAGCAGTCTCTTCTTTCCAGGTAGACATGCTGTGTCTGCACTCGCATCTGTAAATAATCCATCCTGTCAGTCTGGAAATGAACTTTGGTTGAAGGTAGTGGTGCAGTGGGTTTTATGCACTTCTGCTTTTAGGCTCCCATCCCCAACCATACCGCATTCTCTGCATCCTCCATGTGGTGAGATCACAGATTTAGCTGCTTGTCCTCTATAACCAGGTGTCCATTAATATCTACAGATCATCAAAGGTTATTTTAAGCTCAACCAAAATCAAAACAAAGCTTTTTTTTAATTATTTAAAAGAAACAAAATAAGCTAGCAGCTTACACTCAATCATTTGCTGTAACTCCCACCAGCGATCAGACAGCAAGGTCACCAGTCCATTACAGTCAAATTATAACCAACTTGAAATGTATGTTTATTATTATTAAACATACTCTTTACGACTCGGGGTGCAACAAAAAAATATGCTAACCAATAAACCAGCCACCCAAGTTTTCTTAATGTTTTGAGATCTGCAATCATCCATAAGATTCCACAGATGAGTGCAGATAATTTCCTGTGCGATTGTGAGTGATTACTGTATTACTGTGGCAAAAAGGGGGGATGTATCTGGGAATGCAGAGGGAATTAATGACACATAAAGCCGATCTTTTCCACCAATCTTATTTACCTCTGCAAAGCTCTGAAAATGAGCCGCTGTCCCCTTTTGCTCTGCTGTGAGAGAGCGCTGACTGACCCACCCACCAGGTCATGTCTGTATGTGTGTAATAAATAATAATCACCTCTCTGTTCCCAACTTAGCAGTTTTGTCACAATATTTTCTGACTTTTCAGATCCAAACAATCGGTATCGGCCAAAAGCGGAATTTGGTGCACTCCTAGATGAGAGAAAATTAAATAACTTGGGGTTTTAAGGCTGTTATCTGTTGAAAACAAGCAGACTGGAATTACCTCCTTGGAAATAATGGATTAAATCATACACAGACTGAAATGTAAAACATAAAATGGACAAGAAAAAGACCCATCCTATTTGCACGTACTCTGAGGACGGTGTGAAAATCTGGTGTGGATAAAACATGCAGAGATTGCGAATGAATAATCACACGCGTTTCGCTGTCGCCCCGTCATTTGTCACATGTTCCTGTGCCGTTGATGTGCACTGCAGGTCCTAACTGTGCATATGTTTTCAAGCGCCCATCTCTCTTGCTCACCAACGTGCCCGGGCTCGGTCTGCGCTGACATATTTCCAGCAGCGTGTCATTTCTGTTTCCCGGCTGATTGCTAAACAGCCACAGAGCCGAGCAGTGGAGGTGGAATCTCGTCTGTATTCCCTGCCCATCCTTTATTGATGGCAGAGTAATCACAGGGCCAGAGTACAAATCCACTTACCCTCTGCTTTGCCTTAAGTAATGGATTTATGAGTGCATTAAAGAGCCGTAGTCATCCAGAGGCCCCTGCCAGACTGTCTCTCTGCTCATTCTCTCCCTGATCGACTGTCTTTGTGTCTCAGTCGGACTCATCTGCTTCTGCTTTCCCAGCTCCTGTCATGTGAGATCTCTCTGTCTTCTGATTTCCAATCGTCTGCTCCTTGTTGCCTCATTTTCACTCTCTCCGGACTTTGGCTGGCTTTGGGAGTGTTTGTGCGACCCATCATTGCATTACCCTCTTTTTTTTCTCCTGGACTTATATCCTCTCATCTTTTATCCTCTGGGAAGCCCTGATTAGAAAAAGGGAAAGAAAAAAAAAAAACTTTTTCATTTTCTCCTTGAAGACCAAGGGAGCCTGGCCGTCAGAGAGAGCTGACTCTTGAAGAAGTTGGAGCTTTGGAGGCTCGAGGCAAAGTTGGCGCCAACTTAACTGCCTGAACTAAACCGACATTAAAGCAACTCTCTCGGTGCAGAGCTGGAGAAGAAGGGTGAAAAGCTGAACTTTCTAACTCTGAGCGTTGCAGGGAAGAAATGCAGGAACGCAGATGAAAAAGTTGCAGCATCACATCTCTTTCTATCCGATGTTTTCATCTGCTTCTTGTCGCTACAAGGCCCCTTTTTCCTCACATCCTCCTAATTAATCTCAGTGTGTGGTGACACATCTGCAGTGCGCATCCCACGAGAGGTTTGTCTGGGTGTGTGTGTGCACTCTGCATGTCTTCCATTTATCTGTCACGCATACAGCAGGGCACTTCACACAACTGATAACAATACAAGACGCTTGCTGGTAAGAGAGGTTTTGACCATTAATTATTTCAAAGCTTGCAGAATATTTTTTGGGAACATTTGAAAGTGGGAAAGTATTTTCTGCACTAGAAGAAAGCTCATATAAATAAACCAAGAAAGGAGAGTGCATTAAAAGATGCAGATAAAAAGGCTCCTAGTCAGTCTGCTGGAAAAGGGCATCCAGAATTCGTCAGAAGCCATTTTATGCAAGTCAAGTGAGGTTGGAGCCTTTTTTTTATCTTCTTCTTCTTTTGACCCAGTACACCGCTGTAAAATCTCAGCTAATTCTATTCATCTTTCACACCTTCCCTCCATTACTCCCCACCAATCCCTCACAGACTCCTCAGAGGGCGTTTCCCTGCAGCTGGGCAACTCGAAAGACTTCATCCTCAGCTTGGACTTAAAGTTTGCCTCCAACGGCAGTGTGTCGGTGGTCCTGGAAACCACAGAAAAGGGGCCTCCCTTCACCATCCATTACGTTACCAGCACGCAGCTCATCGCCTTCAAAGAGCGTGACGTCACCTACGGCATCGGGCCTCGATCCTCCTGGAGCACGCTGACCAGAGACCTGCTGACCGACCTCAGGAAGGGAGTCGGGTTGTCGAACACGAAGGCTGTCAAAGCCACAAAGGTTGGTTCAAACCAGAACTCGCTTGTGGATAACAGTTACGGAAAGTTTATTTAAAAGGTTATCGTTTACAGTACCGGTAATCTTTTTTTTCTCCAAAAAAGGCCTTTTGAATATCTTTTTCATTCTTTACAAACCACAGAATTAAAGTAAATTAGTTAGAAATTTGGCAGACAATAATCGATATTAGACATCTCTCTCTATAATATTTAGTTATCGTTTTAGGATGCAGTTTTAGAAAAAAAAAAAACTATTGACAAGTGGCATCATTACCAATATAAAATTAATGATGAATCCTGTGACTGATTTATTTTTGATAATTTGTTACTTTAGTTGAGTTAATGCACATCCCTGTCCGCACATCCTGAAAAAGCATTAAATTTATGTATCTAAAATTAAGTCTGTAAAGTGATTTATGTTCATTAAATAAAATGTTGGCCTTAAAAACAATCATAAGTCTTAAATTTTGTCTTGGTATAACCATGTAACATCTTTTATTCTAGGTAGATTTCTTTTTCTCACAGGACTTTTCTATCATGTAAAGGTTTGCGTCGTGCGCTGACATGTGTTGAGGCAGTTATGGGTACCGGTGCCAAGTTGCTAATAGTTGCTAGCTGTCTAACTTTCTTGAGTCCATCATAGGTAAAAGTAAAAGTATTTGCATGTGGCTGGATAATGTTTGTCGTCGCCACTGGCTCTCTTCTCTTGCCAGCCCATATGAAGCTGCATGCATTCTGTGCAAAAAGAATGCTTGACACTATAGGGGTTAATGCTGTAGTGAGTTATATCCCATGTGAGAATCACAAAGCTGCTAAGAGCCACAAAATGACCCCAGAAAGTTAAATTTTGTTCCCCTGAAACAATAAAAAAAAGCATTTCTCTTGCACCTTTCTGTCTTAAATTTTGTAATAATGGTTTTAAAAAGTCTTGAATTTGAATTGGTGAAACCTAATGTTGATGTTATTTATGGGGGTGATTGTTACAAGAGTTTTAAAATAAAGTCATACATTTAGACCCTGATTCTTTCTAATCTTGTCTGCGTTTCTGCCCAGATCATGCCCAGGCGGGTGGTGCGGCTAGTCCTGCACGGACGCGGCTTTGTTGACAACATCACCATCTCCACCACTGCCCACATGGCCGCCTTCTTCGCCGCCAGCGACTGGCTGGTGCGCAACCAGGACGAGCGAGGGGGGTGGCCCATCATGGTCACCCGAAAACTGGGCGAGGGCTTCCGGCCCCTGGAGCCCGGCTGGTACTCGGCCATGGCCCAGGGCCAGGCCATGTCCACCCTGGTGAGAGCCTACCTCCTCACCAAGACCCAGGCTTACCTCAACGCTGCCCTCAAGGCGGTGGGACCGTACAAGGTGCCTTCAGCGCAGCACGGGGTCAAAGCGGTGTTCATGAACAAGTACGACTGGTACGAGGAGTACCCCACCACGCCCAGCTCGTTTGTGCTCAACGGCTTCATTTACTCTCTGCTGGGACTTTACGACGTTGCTGACACGGCAGGAGAGATCCTGGGCAGAGAGGCGGGGCAGCTGTTCAGCCGTGGCATGGAGTCCCTCAAGGCCATGCTGCCCCTCTTCGACACGGGGTCCGGGAGCATCTACGACCTGCGTCACTTCATGCTGGGCACGGCGCCCAACCTGGCCCGATGGGACTATCACACCACGCACATTAACCAGCTGCAGCTGCTGGCATCCATAGACAACGCTCCCATCTTCAGGGATGTGGTGAAGCGCTGGAAAAACTACTTAAAAGGGATTCGTGCAAAGCACAACTAGTCGAACTCAGCAGATTTTACAGCTGAGTTTAGAAGAGAATCAATGTTTAGGCTGTAAGAGCAAAGCAGAAGATTTTATAGAGAGACGTGTGTGTGCGTGCGTGCGTGTGTGTGTGTGAGTCACTTCTGGTTAACGGCCTGAAAGATGAGTTGCGATACTTTAACTTTGTGTGCACTGTTGCGGGTTTGACATTTTCTGCTACGTTGACTGTAGCTCAAACTTTGTGTCCCTGGAGCTAGTGTTTGTAATTCTACACAGACCTAGCTTCAGCGTGTGAGTGTTTGCATTCATAAAGAACGACTGCGTGTTTTGTAAAAAAAAAAAAAAAAAAAATCAATGTAGAAAAAAAAAATACACATTGGAACATTTTTGACTTTCTTTAATGCATCAAGATTTCTCTTATACGTTTTCTACTTTAAATTAGATTTCAGAGGTTTACTCAAGTAAGCTGTGAAATTCAGAGTGCGTTTCAAATGTTGCCAAGAGAAGTTAATGCTATCAAAAGATAATTTAATAGTTTATATTTCTCCTGAGCGTGCTCATTGATAGTTTTAGTCACATTTCATAGATATAATAATGACGGTGAAGGATTATCTCAGTTTTTTTTCTCCCTTCTCATTTTTTCATGGGTTAGTTTGTCTAAAAATATACAATAGATGTCTAACAAGCTGTTTGAAGTCAGCTCTGAAGGATAAGCAATGGAGGTAGCAGAAGTGTATCCGAGATAAACCCGTCAAGCTTTAATCTTTAACGGTTGTGAACGCTGTTGCTACCAACACCCTCCTCTTGGCTGCTTTGCTGTGTTTTTTTTTTTTTTTATAGGACACTAAAACAGCAAACCAGGCCGCAGGCAAAAGAAAAACCTCTGCTTCTCTTTGGGTTCACCTTGGAAAGTTAACGTGTCGTCTGTGAGACTTCTTCAAGGTGATTGCAGCTCATCACAGATCAGGAAAAGAAAAATTAGCAAAAGAAACTTTGGCCGTTCCTTTGCAGTATCCCCCACATTTATTGGCACCCCGACTAAAAATGCCTAAAACACCATCAGATAAATTAATCCCGTGCATAATCTCAGTCTAGACTCTTTTTTTTTTCCAGATTAATGAACTCAAAAACCTAAGGATTTTTTTAAGACAGCATTCTGACCATCTTCCCCCTTTGGATGGATATCTTCCGTGTCCTCGTTTCATTGCATCTTCAGTACTTTTAAACTGTAGAAATGTACGAGTTTTATTACACGTCCTACTTGAACGGCGTGCTCTCGTCTTTCCTATTTTGAAGACTGGCAAAGAGAAATGTCTATTTCATACACATGAAAAAAGTTAGTTACATTTTTCTTCCTTTGTTAGAGGCTCCAATCATTAGTTTGATTTTCAGAACTTCAGTGTGTGATTATGGTATTGCAATAAAGGATGGATTTATTTTAGGCATCTTTTTAACTAGGGATGCCTACAGATGTGGAGAGTTAAGTACACGACTCAGGAAAAGAGCAGATCGAAGCTAACATGTTCCCCTTTCTTAAAGATGTGTTGGCAACACGACTGCGACTGGAAACGGTTGTTGCCTCACTTACCAATGCTTTTGTTTGCCGAGTTATAAAAGAAAAAAACCCACTCCTAATTTAGCTGTCAAACAATTAAACCATTGTTCATTTTCCTTGCGAATGTCTCCATCTTAAGAAGCCTTTCTTCTGTCTCACTCTAGTCTCGATTATTCCCAGAAACAAGTGTGGGTGGTGTCGACGCGCGTGGAGGTAGACGGATGTGGGCAGCGGAGCCGCAGCTGTCACGTCGGTTCAAAGCGTTTAGATCCAGACAATGCCAGCAGCAGCTGGAGGTAAATTCTCAAACACGGACGCTGCCGGTCCCTGCAGACTCCTGTTGCTCCCTCTCACCTCCTCTAAGAGCGTGAACCGAACCGTTTTTAATCCGAGCCACGCGGAGGACGCTCACAACTCACCCGGCTAATAGGGTGGAGAGGCCGCGCGCGGTTCCGGTCGCTGGCTGCGGATGAGTCAGCGCCCTCTCCAAACAAAGTGGAGCTTCTCCTCGGCATCAATGGAGCTCTGATCGATCTGCTTTATAGATTAACACCGGGAGTTTCGGGGTGAATCATCCTTTCGCGGGGAGGTGGTGGGGATTTTCATTTAGAAAAATTGTGTAATCGGAGATCAGATCGTATTCCCACACAGTCAGCTTTCAAGTTTTAATGCGCGCTAAGCAGACAAAATCGAAGGACCCTGTGATTTATTTTGATGCGGTGTTGGGTTGAGTTAATCCTTTTAAAGCCGAGACATCTCGTTCTGTTTGGTTTATCCTGGAAATGGAAGTTTTTACTCACTCCGTGTTTTTTTTTGTTTGTTTTTTTGCACGTTTCTTCTTTATTACAAAATTTATTACTTTCTTTAAAAACCGAGAAGCATATGAATCATCTTTTCTCCATTTTGCTCCTCGACAGTATTCGCATAATTGACACGCGAGGCAAAAATACGTCTTCGAAAGAGGAACATTAATAACTGAAAGTTTTGTGTTTTCATACAAATTTCTATGTTGTTTAAACCAAAGTCACTTGTCGGGTACATTTATTTGTATATATTTGTGCAAACTGACTTCCATTCAGCATTTGGCGTTAGGTCTCCACAGACACATTATGGAGAAACACTGCCTTTGGATTTTAGGTGTAGACTGAGTAGATTATAACAAAAGAAAAATGAATTTTTAAAAAAAACTCATGTTAAGCTTGCTTATATGAAAAAGGAGATTTGTGCAGCAGCCAGTGGTTAGTTTAGTCTGCTTGCTAATTCGGAGGGAAACCAACCGAGAGCTGCAAGCATCGTCTTCTTCTCCAGGATCTGTCGGGTTCATAATCTGCAGGTTAAGTTTGTTTTGGTTAATAAAAGCACAACTGCAGGTTATCGTCAACTGATTTGTTGCATTTCTTCTTGAATTTTTTTTTTTCTTCCTTTCTTTTAGGATAATGTGCAACAGCTTTACTAAGCTGCTATTGTTGTTCACTGTGTAAAAATGGGTATGAGAACTTCTTTTCTTCTCACTTCAGTAGAATCTCTGATTTAACAGAAATGTTCAACATGACGGCCTTTTGAGGTCAGTGTGATTTATGCAATAAGATGTTTACTGGGACTGGTGACTCCGCCACAGACCCAGAGTGGTTGTATAGACTTTGCAATCTAAGCACAATGTGCAAATGCTCCCATTTTTTTAGTCCAAGTAAGAGGTGTTTATATACAGAGTAAATCTTTGTGCTTTAAAACTTTGCTTTGTAAAGGTGTAAAAAAAAAAAAAAATAATAAAATCATTTTTCTTAAACTTCTGTGTTTCTTCATATCTCTGACTGGAACTCATCTGTTTAGCTAATTGTTACTATTGAGGTTTTTTTGTCGTTTCAGCAGCAAGATCCGCAACCATTTCTAATACTTTAAGCGAGATTCCAGCTTAATTTGCTCTAAAATATGAATAAATAAAATCAATATTCCTGGGATTTTGGTTGGGGGGAATAAAAAGCACAGAGTATTTCACCACTTTGCAGAGGAAACTGATGACTAAAAAGACATTTTCAGAAATAAAATAAATTTCCTCGTGTAATGTCAGATTTACTTATACACTGCTGTAAATAAAGCTGAAAGCAGAGGCTCACATACACTATAAATGTTGCATCATTTTTTTCTCACTGATAAATCAGACTAAGCTTATCCTCTTTTAGGTCAGACAGGATTATCAAAACAATTTCTATTTGCTTGATGCCAGAATAAAAGGATTTGCATAGTTATCGGAGGATTCTTTTTTTTTAAATTTACATAACATTAACATGCATTTAAACAATTTCATAAAGTCCAGATGCACGTGTCAGATTTGTAAGCTTATAACAGATTAATCGGAGTCACACCTGTGAATGTATCTCAAGACAACACCTTAAATAAGCTGCTTCCTCTCGCATAGAAAATAGAAATTAGGTAGGAAGAGATTGATGGGTCTCCACAAGTCTGGTTCATCCAAACATACAATTTCCAGCTGTCTGAAAGAGCCACATTCGTATGTTTATAAGATTATCTTTCATTTTAAACACCATGTAAATGTCTTCAGAGAGGAGACTAGTCCTACGCCTCAGAAGTGAGCACGTTTTTGCATAAAACACTACAAAATAAAAGCGAAATACTGTTAAAATGCTGCCTGACAATCCGCTCAGAGAGGAAGAAGTGGAGAGCTTAATTTTAGGACATGTCCTATTTTCTGATTAAACTAAAAATGAACTCTCTGACCGTAAAGACCAAAGAAGAAGCCTTACAATCCTGTGGGTGTGTGAGCCTTACAATCTCAGTAGTGAAGTGTGATGTGTCGGCATCGTTTTCTGAGGTTTTATGACCCAGGAGGGACTGGTTCACTTCACGAAACGGATTATGTCATGAAGAAAGAACATTAGGTGGAAATACTGGAGCAACTCCCGCCAGAAAGTTGAAGCTTGGTCACTAGTGGGTTTTCCAAAAGGCAAACATGTTCAATGTTGAAGAGGCCGTCACAAATTGCAGTCCAATAGAGCATTTGTTGTCTGAGCTAAGGAGGTGTGGGTGTGTGAGCAAAGTGGCCTACAAAGCCAACCGGTTCTGTCAGGTGGAATCAACCAAATTCCACCAAACGCTTGTAGAAACAGTAGAAACATCCCAAAAATGTTTGTCCCCCCAAGTCATGCAGTTTTAAAAGGCAATTCTACCAAATACAAAAGAAATGTTAAAAAAAGGAGACTCTGCCTTTCATTAATCTGACATTTAGCAAAAATAAATACGTTCATGACTAGTCTAAAACAGGAAACATTTAATGATTTAACAGTAAACAGTGAGGAAATTTTTCTTTTAATCTAGTTAGGCAGCGTATGTAAACATGTTGCTTCAGCTGTACAGTACACGTTGTGTCGGCTCACACGATCTGCACCAAAGGGAAACTGATTATGAGAGTCTTGACTGGATTAATGTCTTATGTTTTCATTTGGTCTATCATTTAGGTCTCTGCTCTGATGGAGTCACTTTGTCTGATCGTTAATCGCAGCTCCTTTAAATATTTAGACTCCACACACACACACACACACACACACAGCTGGATTTACTCTGTTCAGAAATATTTGACTCAAGACTTCATTTCCTCTGCAGTCTGAAGACTTTACGCATTAACTGATATTTCATTTGACGCTCTGAACTCCTGTCAGAGATTTAAATCAGTTTATTTGTCATTCTCATTCATTTTGTATACAGAATATGTCTCTGTTTTCTGTTGACGTTTCTGGCTCGGAAAATCACATCAAAGCATTACACGGATTAAATAAATGAGCAGTATTTTTATTTCCAGGACAAAACTGACAGAGCTTCTGCTTTTGTATAAGTACTGATATGTTGCTGGCTTAACAGATTACATTTCCCTTGGTTATGGCTTTGGTTCTTCAGATCTGATAGTTTACTTTTGTATTGGTGACTCTCCTGACTTTTAAGCATAACCACTCTTTTTGTTGTCGTTTTACAAAAAATGTGTCTTTAGGAAAGTCATTTCTCCATCCCAAACCTAGTTTATGTTCGTTTTGGATCGCCTTTGTCCCAGATATTTTTAGCTCTTGATTTGAAGTGAAGTTGAATCATTTCAACCAAGCTCCACAATCAATCCCTTGTTTTGAAATCCTTACATTATTCTTAGGTTTTCCAAGAATATTTCCTGTCATTATGGGCAAGAACCCGTTATATCTGCCAGCCTCAGTCAGTCAGTCATGATGAAGAAGACGACTCCCCAAATACTAACAACTCACAGAAAATCTCTCTAACCTTTCAACTGACAGCTGCTGCTTGGTGAATCTGCTTAGACTGATTCA